ATTTTCAGTAGAAAATCTGAGAATACCTCTTCTTTGTTCGATGCATCAAAACTTTCGCATATTAACGAAATTCTCGATGAATTAAACATGGCAACGCATCAATCGAAGGTTCTCTCGAACGTTTCCATTAAGTTACTAATTGCGGGATTGTGTGAAGTCGTATAGTTGAGAGGATAGTCAAGAAGTGTTAAGAGATTATAAATTAATCAAAACTGTGCCATTACGACAATGAATAAGACGGAATAATTCACATCAGATGTGAACAATTCTGTCGAAAGTAATGAACAATTAATAAGTTCGGCGAAAAGTACTAGTACTGAGAGAAGGACGCGATATTTGCAGTGAAGAGTTGATTCTGTAAAGCTCGACAGACAGCTCGACACACGTAGACTGTGCAAGCAGACATCTGAACTCTTACTGGTCAAACATCAGAAATCACTGAATTCTTGAAACCCAAGTTGATGAAGACATATTGAAACAGAAAAGGATTCATCGGTTTATAATTACCAAAAGTTAGTGATCCCGAGATTTCAGTAGCCACCGACCGAAGACGCAAAGACCTTCTTCGATGGCCATCGGATGACTTGACAGTCAGTGACCACAAGATGTTCGGTCGCTGACTATCTAAAAAATATTCGTTGGTTCCTGACTTTAACAAGCACTGATTAAATATGCAAAACCAATGACAGCGATTTTGTGAGACGATTAAAAGCCTCATTGTACTAGTGGCTGACTCAAAAAAAAAGAACATTAAAATGAAATGCAGTTGTGAAAAACACCAATCGATATCGTAAACATTTTTCGGATAATCATCAGTTATTTGAATCGAGCAATCATCCACACGAGCGCATCAAACAAATACGCACTTTTGACATGGTTCTTCTCAAACCCACAATAAACAAAAATATAATAGTTACTTGCTGCTATGGTTGCCTGCAGTAAACAACTATTCAACATGAAGAATGGCACGAAAATTTGAATGCAATCGATAAAATTTAACTACACACTCACAGTGATTGAAGGCATCCAAACGAACGACTCACTGAATGCGCGGTAAACAAATAGGTCGGTATAACGGTAAGATGCTTTCAAGAGGGACCACAAACAAAGTATTTAGACGGATTACGATGATGTATTATTGCACAGCGATACATTATTATTCACTATAAGTAATCAAATGAGCTCAGACGTCCATTTCTAATGCATATAAAACATAATGGTTTATGATGTTTTATGCAAGACGTCGGTAGCCGTTTCCGAGAAGCAGTCACTATATGAGGAGAGAGTCATCGCTGAATAACTAGCGACCTCCAATTGCAGAACAGAATATGCGTTCCCTCTCAAAATCAATTTCAATTCAGTATTATTCGCAAGTCTCTGCAAATCTTATGTGGTTAACAAATTGCACAATTACGCCGCCTCATTACGAATCGATGTGAATATGAAAACTGTCTATATTTATCATTTGAACAAACAAGAGTCGACAATCAATTAGATACTGAATCAACGCTGAATTTTGAAATACGACAGTCGCAGTTATCATCTTTGTTAATCGTGCTATAAACAAGTATAAATGATAAGATATCAGCAATAATTAACCACTTTCACATCAACACAGAATGATTCTGCTTTGAGTCTTCAATATTACGTAGCAATAAACTAAGATCGACTCACTAGACAGCCCATCAAAATCACTAAATATTTAGTCACGTCTAGTTTTCCTCTCTTCGTTGTTCAGTGCTTAACCCAACTATTCCAATCGTTTTCTCTTCAGTTCACATATTTATTTAATCTATCAATCACTCGTTTTACTATCGATATGAGAATAATGCGAGGATGGTGCCATAGTAACTCGTTGAACATTTGCCCTTTCTTATGAGTCATTCGTCGAAAACATCTTTTTCAGATACAAACTGAATGAAATTTTATTGGTTTAAAATGCGATACGAATCTGTGCCAGGTGAACAACTTCCGATTGATAAATTCATATTCACGAGAAATTCAAATTCAAATTTCAACATGCCAACTAAAGTGGCATCAATATACACGTTCCATAATTCCGTAGTCTCATCACAACAAACCATTTCACGTTTTCAGTCTTCGTTAGTAATCGATCAATACAAGATGAAACGCTCTTTCTTATACTGCGAAGCAACAAAATTCGTTCTTATCTGTTATAGATTACTATTAGTATTCCAGATAGGTTTTATGATTCCCATATTGCTTATAAATCATTCGTCCTCATCGTCCAAAACATCAAATCAAATTGATTCATTCAATTGAAATTTTCACAGACTTTCAGTTTCATTTAAAACCAACAAAATCCATTTGCGAGTTCCAGAGGAACTTACAATTAGGATTTCTGCCCTGACGAGTGAATATCACTTTAGTTCACAAATTTAAAAGTTCAATTTAAAAATTTTTCGCGTCTAATGAATTTTTTTTTCGAGAATTTTCGCACCAAATATGGCGACAGTCGGAGAAAATTCGCTTACTAACACGAGAACTCATGTCTTGCATTTCTACATTGCAAAGCAATATATACAGGCTGATCTCAATATGCGAGAAGATAAATGACGACTATAAAAACAACTGCGAAAATATTCAATATTCATAACATCTGAACAATGAAATGTAACTTTCACACTACAATAACAAAATCATTTTTGTCGATCAGTCAATCGATCAGTGCCAATAACAAATCAAATCAAAAACGTTAAAAATTTATGTAATCGCATTGCAAAGAGATTTTCCATCGGAATTCAGTATAATCCTTAGAAGTGTCGTATTCAGAAATCACTGATGCGACACTATCGACGCACAGCTATCACAACAATCTAATCGAATTCATGCAATATAGCAATCAATGTGAGTTGGTGCTTTGTAGCTTAACTAGAACAAAACTCAGAGTTGCTTCATATCGAAAATGCAATTTTCTACGAACTACTGTCAATAACTGCGTCAGTCACTTTAACGTATGCTCTCCGAGTGTTTCATAAAAACATATTTATAGTCAAATACACAGCAATTAAATCATTCCTAACGAATCGCTCACTCCACAACTTTATTATTTCTTTTTCAAAGCCAAAAAAAAACGAAAAAAATTAGGGCAATACCGTAATAGCACAAAAAACAATTTCACCGCTAATGAACTTTGAAGTTTTTATTTTAACACGCGTAAATTTTTATATGTTAACATTTATAACGACAACCAGCCAACAACAAATTGTATTTTCGATAAGTTTACTTCTATAAATTTTCGATAGAATTTTGCTCACAAACATGGGAGGTGAAGATGCATAATTTTAATTCTATTGCATTTCTCAATGAATTATTCTTCTTTTCGAATTTACATATTATTTC